GGTGTTTGGCTTTTGTTGGCTTTTCAAAGACACTGCCCATTGCCAGGCAATTCTCAATCTGCTTCTGCAATTAATTTCAATTTAAAAACATGACAGGGGTACCTAGGGAAGGAATCCACCTCACAGGCTGAGCCCTTCCTGTGTCTGGATTCCCCTTGATGGGCTGGAGGAGGGCTGTGGGTGTGCCGTGGTTGTCCTCCCTCTGCCGACAGGACACACACCTGGCTGTGGTGTAGGCCCCGTGAGGCCCGCAGAACCAGTGACCCGATGGCCAGGAACCAGGAGACGTGATGGGCTGTGAGCAGAGCTGTGTGCACACCACATAGGTGTTGAGGAACTTTATGGAGGCAGAGAAGGCAGCAGGTGGTGGGAGTTGGAATTCTGCTGCTGACCTGGATGGGACAAGGCTGTCCAGTGGGGCAGGAGCGGGGGAGGTGAAGTTGGAGCGTGGTGTGGTCTGTGTGCAGGGAAGTACAGGCAGTGCAGAACGGAAGGCTGGGGCAGGCGGAAAACCACACTATAGTTTTAGAGTAGAAATGACTGTGGCCTGAAATGGGCTCTCTAGAAGAGCAGGGCCTGGTACCAGGAGGATGATCTGATGATGGTTCTGCATTAGACAGTGTCTGCAGGAGGCCAGGGAGTTGGCAGGCTTCCTGGGTCTGCTCCGAGCGGAATCTTCCGCAGCCCGGGGAAGGTTGTGGGGCCTGCGCTCCATGAGTTTGTGTGCCTAGGGGTGGGGGGTCGGTCAGAGCCAGACAGGAAAGTGCTCTAGCATAAGGCCCAGCAGCAGGGCTGTGGGAAGAGGAGAACACAGACTAGAAGAACATACGCCGAACCACAGATACTGGGAGCAGAGTAAGGTCAGCAGTCAGGGGCCCAGCGGTTTGTGAGCCATCACTGTTCACGGGCTGCTCACTTCATGGTGACTCTCAGAAGAGCCCTCGAATTAGGTGGGACCTCATCAGCTTCAAGGCCGAAGGAGCCTGAGCAGCTGCCTCAACCCAGCAGAATCATTTTCAAGCAAGAGAACCAGGGTCTGACCTGTCAAGGCCCAGGCATTTCTGAGCTGAGGTTCAGATGGTTCAAGGTTTGCTCTCCTGAGATGATGTACAGCCTGTTCCTAGATGCTTCAGCAGGTCTTGTCGACATGTAGGGTTCCCAGACCCACGACACGTGCTTCCATCTCCCTATTACCAACTCCATGATCATGATGGTCATGAGCACCGTGATGTCTGAGTCCCAGAAAAATGCCGGCTTTTCTCTGCCAGTTCCCAGCCTGGGCCAGTGAGTCAATTTTGAGTCAAGTATGTTTTTTCTTTCACCTCCGTTTATAGAGACAAGTCCAGTGGCTTACATTCAATAAAGGAAGAAGAGTACAGAATTACGGATCCACAGAAGTGCCAGGATCCTGTTCCCAAGAAGTGAGTTGATTCAAGCAGCAGTAACTTAAACACAGAACAGGAAGCTTGCATGTTCACAAGTGGGGAAAGCTGTAGCATCTAGAGCAGTGAGCAGTTTGTTGGGTCTGCATCTTCTACTCCATGGCAGGTCCCTCCCAGCACTGAGCCAATTCAGAGTTTCTTTCCGTCCTGCCCTCAGGGTTCTCCTGTGAGGGATGGCAAAGCCAGCTGGCCATGAGCCTGTTTACGGGAACAGAGAGTCTGTGGTTTAGAGCCACTAAAGCAGGAGTATCAGGTTTTGTCTCAAGGTTTCAGGACCTAGAAAACCATGTATTTGTTTGGGAAGGAAGCTTGAGTCAGACACCTGGACCAGCACTCATAGTCTTCAACCACAGGAACTCAGTCTTCCCTATATTCTTCTGGAGTCACTGGACCCCAGGGTGATTCACAAACACATTCCCTTCTCCAGAGATCAGCAGCCACGGTGTTGGGGTGGCTCCGTCCCCGATACTTCCGGCCTCTGTCCTGCAGGGCTTTCCCTAGGCTGGGGTTGAGCCCCAGGTGCTGGGCCTTCACACAGTCCTGTGCCAGCCCAGCCTTGAGGTCAAATCACCATGAGTCCTGCAAGGCCTCTCTGCTGAAATCACAGAATTTCCGCTCTCCCACTTGTCCCTCCTGTTGACAGGGACATTGAAGCATCGAAGAGGAAAGGAAGCGAGTTGAGTAAGCACAGTGCTGCTCCGCGGCAGAGCCAGGATTAGAACCCAGATGAGGTCCTTCTTGTGACATTGGAAAGCCTCCATTTCCCGTTAGCTGCAATGCAACCTTTACATTCACTGTTTTCATTTATTTCTACTTTCTTTATACTTCAAACGAGGATACTTTTTGAGAAATATAGAATTCTCCTCACGTGCTAAGTAAAGCACTGGCACAAGGTGCCACTACATTCATTAAATGGCGTCAGAGCATCAATGACTCACTGAGTCCTGATTCTGGTTTTGCCGTGTGTAACGTTTCCATCACTCCTGAGCTGGAGAGGGTTCTGATTTCCCAAGTACATTTAGGAAATGTGGTTTCATTTGTTATCGTGTGGGTGTTTTTTCCTTTCTCTCTTGGGTTATCCGGGGATAACAATTTAGCAACTGGGTGCAAAGGGAGTCACTTTTGGAGAAGCAAAAGCAAGGACAAGTCTCCCGTAGGCTGCCCAGCTCTGTCTAAATGTCTCAGATTCTGGTCTTTTCATCCCCCGCCGGGACCGCCCCCAGGGCCGTGGTTCCACGCGGTGCCTCGCCTTGGCCGGCGCCTAGCAGGCGACTTAAAACTGGTGCGGACTAGGGGAATCCGACTGTTTAATTAAAACAAAGCATCACGAAGGCCCGCGGCAGGTGTTGATGCGATGTGATTTCTGCCCAGTGCTCTGGAAAAAAAAAGAAAAAGATTCTGGTCATCCGCTGACTTGCCACCCTCTCCTAACTAGCCTCTCAGTTTTTTCGACGCTAAGGGTTTCCGAACCTTTCCCTTTATTAGTGTCTTCACGATATACCCTCCCTTATTTCTGAAATTAAATAAAAAAGCACAAAAAAAAACAGTACATAGAAACCCCCACAAATAACAGAATACTCCAGTACCTAAAGGCCAGATAACACAGAGTGGACGCCTCCTGCTGACCCCAAGCTGAAGTAGCCAGGGTGGGCTCTGATTTCAGAAGAGATGAGTGGTCACAGCCTCTGGGCCGGACTCCAGCACAGCGCAGTTTTACAGGAGCCTCGGGACACACACACAGGTCCTTGGCCCACAATGTCCGTGCTCAGCAAGTCCCCTGGCTGACTGCTACCCCCTCTCGAGAACCTGCAGCGTGAAGGTCATGCCCGTGTGCAGTGCAGAGCTCATCAGCGGTCACTGTGCTTCATCACATGTGTGGCCACCGTTGGAAGACTTTATTATTTTTAAGACTTTTTCTTAAGAGCTATTTTTGAGCAGCTAAATCAGAAACTGCTGCCCTTTATTCCAAGTTCATTGTCAGAGCAGGAAATCGTTGACTTTTGCAGATAAGTCCCCTTTTAGACATGTTTTATGTTTTGAAGTATTTATTGCTCCACTCAAGCATTTTGAATAATTGGATCGAGGTTGCCGAGCCAGGATTCAGTCCAGAGTGACAGTAGGGCTGTGCTAAGGGTATGCGACATCTTGGATGCTGCAGTGAGAGGAGCAGTGGACAGACAGAACATCAGCTTACAGTCACTGTCAGAGCTGGGAGCACCGGTCCAGAGGCCTTGAGCTACTGCCTTGTTTTGTCTCCAGCCGTCCTTGTACCATCTCTCTGATTTTGCCCTGCTTCTATCACCTCTGTGATTACGTACATCTTTCCCCTCAAATCGACTCACCATTTCCACTTGACTTTATTTTAAAAAGAAAGGTTATTATATGGTGGGCTGTGGGAAGAGGGGAACACAGACTAGAAGAACAGATGCCAAGCCACGGATGTTGGGAGCAGAGCAAGGTCAGTGGTCAGGAGGTGTGCCCTTTGTACACAACGTCGGAGAACAGTTAACATTCACCATATAATCATGGTGCTCATGACCGTCATGATCACGGTCCTGTCAATAGCAAAGCAGTGTCACCATAAAACAAGGTCCCCATCAAAGTAAATGCGTGACCATCACACTGTCCCATTCAGTGGATGCGGCACTGACTTGATCTCATGCATCCGCTCTGATTCCTGGGCTGCCAAGTGCTGGGCTGTCCTCCACCTTCTCCCGAGCGACCAGCTGGGAACTCGAGCTCTCTCTGCCTTTGCTGCTGTCTGCACATCTCCTCCTCTGCTCCGCATGCTGACTTCATACACTGGATGCTTGTCTGGTCCACTGAACAAGACTTAAAGCCAAATTTTCCCGATTTCAAGTGGTAAGAGGTGGGTGCTTCAAACTTTATGGTGAGTGCAGACACTGAGTGGCTGGGGGCTGGGGGATAGGTCCTGGGAGAGTGCGGAAGGAGCAAGAATCCCAACAGTGGGCATGGCTCTGGGTCTACAGTCCTCAGGCGGCCTGGAGCGAGATGCTGTACAAATCAGCCTTGTCCTAATGCTCCCAGAACTCCAACCACATGCATTTTTCACTTGTATTTGGAGAGTCCATCGCCTGTCTTACTATGAGGTAGTTGAAGGTCTTTTCAGGGTTTTTTCCCCAATTTTTTTCTTCAATTACTTTTGACAAGAGTATATGTTCATGGTAGAAAATTCAGAGATTGGAGAAAAGCACAAAATACAAGGTAAAACTGATTTTGCGGTCAAAATCACCATGCAGAGATGAGGATTTTCTCCCAGGTGCTCAGGGCTCACCCTCTGAGCCATGGTTGGAGCAAGGGCTGGCCACCCAGGACCTCAGCTCACGTCTGCAGCCAGGGGCTCCCATTCATACTACAGCTGTGAAGTACGCAGCCCCACTTTTGACCCCAGGGCTCCGTGTTCCCTGCTGCCTCTGCTTCTAGGCCTTGGTGAGATCACCCCACCTCGGCATGTTGCAGCCCCATTTGTCACTGTCCTTCTCTGCCCCAGGCCCTGGGGACTTAATACGAAAGGGACGGGCTCCCAACAGAGGCAGCCTTGACCGAACATGTGCCTCCACTGAACCAGCCACCAAGCCCTAGCCATCCTGACCAAGGGTGCTCTGTATGTTGGGGTGATGCTAGGCTGTGAACAGGCCGAGTAGGTTTGGAAATTGTGGTCCTGGCCACATGGCCTGCACAGGAGACATCTGGGGAGGCGGGTAGGGAAAGGGAGGGCTCTCTGAGGACACTCCTGCCCTACGTCTGCTTTCAGTTCTTCCTCTCTTCTCTGGAGGACACTCCCCCAGTTGCCGAGATGACGTGCTAAGTGATCTCTTCAGAAAGACCACCATCTCCCGATAATCAGAGGCCAGCCGGGCCTACCTGCCAGGAGAGAAGGGGCAGGATGCCCTCCAGCTTGGTGCTCCCTCAGGATGACTGTCCATACCTCTGAGGGGAAGCTGTCTGTAATACTCTTGACTCCAGACACTTTCTGCACTTTGGGAAACAATGGGTGTTAGGGATGCTCGAGGAATTCATTGCTGGACTCTCCACACAGCCCAGCACTGGCAGCCGCAGCACGGTGGACAAGGGGGTGAGTCAGCAGAGTCCATGGACTGGCTGTGGGAGAGAGAAAGTTACGCTGGAGAATACAGGAAGAGAGGACATCACTTTAGGACCTTAAGCGAGATGTGAAGGTCTTACCTACAGATGCTACAAGTGCAAAAACTTCCAGCATCACATCACAGAAGTCTCTGAGCCTCATCAAGGAGCCCACATTCCTGATAGGAGGCAATGGCCACGTGCTCAAAGTTCATATCCTGTGGTAATGGGGACAGTCAGTTCTTGATCAGCTTCTCTCCTAGGATTTTATATGCATCATACTCCCCACCCTCCACATCCAGTGGCTCCCTCTACTCCTCACATCAGAGAAGACACCAAGATTTGGTCTCATCAAAGTCGCTTTCTTCTTTCATTTCACCCTTTCGCCCCCACCCCAGAGCGCTAAGGCCACCACTTTGCAGTACCTACTCCACATAATTCTTTGAAACACACTTCTCTTACACGGCTTCATTCTCAGAGGCATTACTTCAGAGATAACACAAATCTGCTGTTGTGAGGACAGGTTGTTTCCTAATCACCTCTTTTCCAAAATTATAGTTTACCAACTCCATAATCTCTTTCTGTCTTACCCTTCTCCCTTACCCACCCACATGGAGATTTCCAAGCCTAAGTGACACTGATGTATGCTATCTTGTTCCTATGGATCACTCTAACAGCCCTAAATAACAGGCAGGTGGGTAGATAAATGGCATCTATGCTCTGTACCTGGCATGTAGCACTACCTACTTACTCCATACAGAAGAATAAACTCAAAATGGATAAAAGACATAAACCTAAGACAGGAACCATAAAAATCTTAGAATCTTAGAAGAATCCATAGGCAGCAAAATCTCAGACAATTTTCGTAGCAATATGTTTACGGATACATCTCCTAGGACAATGGAAACTAAAGAGAAGATAAACAAACGGGACTACATCAAAATAAAAAGCTTCTGTACAGCAAAAGAAACCATCAACAAAACAACAAGAGAGCCCACTGCATGGGAGAACATATTTGCCACTGTTACATCCAATAAGGATTTAATCTCCAAAATATAGGGAACTCATACAACTTAACAAAAGAAAGATACACAATGGAGTCAAAAATGGGCTAAGGACCTAAATAGATTCTTTTTGAAACAGGACATACAGACGAGGCCAAGAGACATATGAAAACATGCTCAAAGTCACTAATCATCCGAGAGATGCAAATCAAAATCACAATGAGGTATCATTTCACACCTGTCAGAATGGCTATCATCAACAAATCAACAAAATACAAGTGCTGGTGAGAATGTGAAGAACAAGGAACCCTCATGCACTGCTGATGGGAATGTAGAGTTGCACAGCCACGAGGGAAAACAGTATGGACTTTCCTCAAAGAATTAAAAATGGAAATTGCATTTAACCCAGTAATCCCACTTCTAGGAATATATCCCAAAAATTCAGAAACATCAATGAGAAAGAATACAGTAGGTCCTTGGGTTACTTCGAAGATCTGTTCCTATGGCTCGATGTAACGAGACTTTTGCCATAAGTTGAAACGCACCTACATAAGCACCTACATCACTCACATGGAGCACATACATAGCAGTAAATAAGTGAAACATTGAAAACAAATTTAAAGAAAGATAACAATTCCTGACCATTACTTGTGGTAAATAAATAATAAAAAACATAATGGAGCCGAAACCGGTTTGGCTCAGTGGGTAGAGCGTCGGCCTGCGGACTGAAAGGTCCCAGGTTCGATTCCGGTCAAGGGCATGTACCTTGGTTGCTGGCACATCCCCAGTAGGAGATGTGCAGGAGGCAGCTGATCAATGTTTCTCTCTCACTGATGTTTCTAACTCTCTATCTCTCTCCCTTCCTCTCTGTAAAAAATCAATAAAATATATTTTTTAAAAAAAACAGTCGAAACTGGTTTGGCTCAGTGGATAGAGCGTCAGCCTGCGGACTGAAGGGTCCCGGGTTCGATTCCGGTCAAGGGCATGTACCTTGGTTGAGGGCACATCCCCAGTAGGAGATGTGCAGGGGGCGGCTGATCGATGTTTCTCTCTCATCGATGTTTCTAACTCTCTATCTCTTTCCCTTCCTCTCTGTAAAAAATCAATAAAATATATTTAAAAAATAAAAAATAAAAAAAAACAAAAAAACCCCAAACATAATGGACACATGAACATATGTCGAAATGATGGAAATTTTTGTTTTATAATAAATGGGAGATGGTGACGTAACCACAAAATGACCTACGTCAGACTACACATAACCCGAGGACTGACTGTATATGCACCCCTATGTTCACAGCAGCACCATGTACAATATCTAAGATTTGGAAACGGCCTAAGTGCCCATCAGCAGATGAGTGGATTAAAAAACTGTGGTACATCTACACAATGGAACACTACGCTGCTATAAAAAAGAACTCTTACCATTTGCAACAGCACGGATGGACCTAAACTAAATAAGCCAATCAGAGAAAGATAAATATTAAATGATCTCACTCATTTGTAGAACATAACGAACAACATAAACAAATGGAACAAAAATAAATCCAGAGACATGGAAGCATTGAACAGTCAACCTCAGACGTAAGACAGGGGAGAGGAGGAGGAGGGGGAAGAGGTCAACCAAAGTACTTGTGTAGATGCATATAAGCATAACCAATGGGCGAAGACAGTAGTGGGCGAGGCCTGTGCTGGAGGGTGAGAGTGGGCAGGAGAGGTCAATAGGGGAAAAGGAGACATATAATACTTTCAACAATAAAGAATTTTTATAAACACACAAAAGACCACAATCAGACGTCAGATATCCAGAGCCCACCTCCACTGCTGCTGCACTTGATGTCCCTTCAGCAGACACAGCCAACATCTCTCCACGTACCCGTCACTCAAGTCCCAGCCCCGAATGAGCCTTTGCCCATTCTGATCCCTGTGCCTGGGAGGAACCCCCACCTCTCATTCCACCCGTTGTCAAAACCAGGGTCCACGTCATAAAGCCCCAGCCGTGGCCTCAGGACTCTGGGCTGAGTGTCCCCAGGTCCCAGGGCGGGAGGAGGGGCCGACGGCCCAGGACCCCACGACCTCAGAGGCCACCAGAGAGTGAGGCCCTGAGAGGAGCCCCACAGCCCCGCCCCCTCAGCGGCTCTGCGCCCGCAGGAACCGGTGGGAACTAAAGGGCTGCGGGCCGGGCACCCACCCCAGGACCCAGGGGCTCCGGCTGCTCAGGGCCCTGGCCCCGCCCCGGGGGGGTGATGCCCGCCGCCCTCGGGGCTCAAGGTCCCTCTTTGCTCACAACCACCCCCGGCCCCGGCGCCCGGAGCAGGAAGTGAACCTCCTCCCGGACCCGCCGCTCGTCCTCTCCGTCGCCTTTAGACACAAACCAGGCCTGGGTGCCCCCCTCCCGGCTCAGCCCCCCATGGCCTCCCCCGGCGGCCCCGCAGCCCGGCGCCCTCCCTCCCCTCACACCCCGGGGCCCCACGAGGACTCACTGCGCTGGACGCTGCGCCCTGGGCGGCGGGACCCGACCGGCGCGGGCCCCGAGGCTGGAGGGTCCGATGGGCTGAGGCCGAGGGGACTCTGTCGGCGGAGAGGAGGCGGGGAGCCTGGGGAACCCCCGTCCCGGGTGTTGGGGCTCAACCGGCCTCAGGCCCGCCCTGCGCAGCGGCGACGCTGCCTCCCCCGACCCCTCCTTCGCGCCACCAACGCTCAGCCGCGCGTACGCCGAACCCTGCAGGTCCGTTACCAGAAGCCACAACGTCCGTCCCCGAGGACGATACCGGAAGTCCCGCCCTAACCGAAAGTGCAGGAACCCAAACGCGCCTATCTCAGCGGACGCGGGCGCAGTGCCTTCTGGGTGATGTAGTTTTCTCAGGCTGCCCTGGCCGTGACCTTGGGGAGTGAAGGTGATGCGGCGCTGCCAGGGGCGCTGGGGAAGGAGATGGGACCAGAGGCCGGGTTCACGGGGACAGACCGACAGGCCCCCCCAGGGGAGGGGGGATCGGGAGAGACCCCCAAAGGACATAGGCACAGGGAATGGGAGACATCTGAACACCATCGACAATAAAAAATACACATTACATTTTATTTAAAAATGTATAATAGGGCTCAGCTGGGGCCTTCTCCCAGGACCTGTCCTTCCCCCTCCTCCTGCAGCTCCCCTGCCCTTCGGACTGGGAGGCTGCCGCGTGTTGGGGGGTGATGGCACCTGGTTCCCGCCCGGCTGGTCACGTGCGTCCTCCCTGCCCCCCACAGCCGTCCTCCCTGCCCCCCATCCCTGTCCTCCTCCTTCAGTCTCTGTTGGCCGCCCACCTGCTCCTGATCCGGGAACTTGCAGAAGGGGAGCTGGCGCCCCCTAGTGTCCTCACCCACATGACTCAGGATTCAGGGCTGAGTGTCTCTTCATGGTCCCAGGTCCCAAAATAAGAAGGGGCTGGACAGCACCCAGGACCCCAGTACCTCAGAGGCCACAGAGTGTGAGGCCCCGACATGAGCCCCACAGTCCAGTGTCCTCAGCGGTTCGGCCCCCGCAGGAACCTGTGGGAACTAAAGGGCTGTTGAGGGCCTGGCCCCAGGACCCAGGGCCTCAGGCTACTCAGGACCCTGGCCCAGCCCCGGGCTGGGTGATGCCTGCAGCCCTCAGCGGTCAGTCCAGTGCACAACTGCCAGTGACCTCATCACCTACACTGTCCTACAGGGTCCTCCTTGCAGCCCCTCCTGTTGGCCTCTCCCTTCTAGTCTGTTCTTTCTCTGGGCAGTTTTGGGAAAACATCAGAACCCTCCCTCACACAATGTTCATCTACTGATCATGGCAAACGATGACCCTGGCTTCCTCACACACAACTTCGCCTCTGCTTGCTGTCGCCTTTAGACACAAAACAGACCTGGGTTTGCGGGTCCCTCCTGGCTCAGCCGCACCACCATGTCCTCACAGAGGCATTGCAGCCCACAGCCCCTTTCCCCCACCACAGGACACATCACCCACGAGGGACTCATTGTTCTGGACACTGTGACCTGGGCTGCAGAACCAGACACGCGCCAGCACCGTTGGATGGAGGGTACATGGGATGAGGCTGAGTTGAACCCTTTGAGGAGAGAGGAGTCTGGGAGGCACCGAGGCCTTAATCCCCCCAGTGGGGGCTCCACAAGCCTGACACACCCTGCACAGCCGGGCCGCTGTCATAAGGCCTCTTCCTGGTTGTAACCCAGTCCTGGACCCTCTGCCTCCATAAACACAACAAAGAGGTCAAAATGACCACCACGTGGAAGATAATGGAAGTCCCGCCCAAACCAATAAGCACTGGCATAATGTGCTTCTCCTGGGTTTTCATTGGCTAAACCCAGCCACCATTACACATATTGCTCTTTGGGGAATGTACTTTTCATGGCCATGCAGATGGCATGATGATACCAGGCACTGACCATTGTAAACACTGGTGTTGGGGTGGGGGGCTAGGGGGGCAGTGGCATTGGGAAATAAAACGTTAGGATTTGGGGTCTTGACTCTGGAATCTCGAGGGTGTTGTCTGCAACTGTTCTCATGTTTAGAAATATTTCAGATTAAGTGAAGCTCAGAATGCTCCTCGGGATGCGAAGTGTTATTTCTATTATTCCAGAAGTCCGCAAACCTAAATGGAGATTATATATATATATTTTTTTTAATTGACCTTTAGAGAGGAAATGAGATGGACACACTGATTGCCTGCCTCCTGCACCCCCCCCCCCCACCCCCATGGCATCTAGCCAGGAAACTGGCTTCTGCCCTCAACAGGATACGAACAGGCAACCTTTCTGTGCATGAGATGACACTCACACAACAGACCCACTCCAACTGTCAGAGTTTTATTTCTGATTTACAAATTTCACATTTTTACAAGAAACAGCCGGCTATGAGAGAACATACATAATCCTATGCTATTCATTTAAAAAGAAAACTTGAAAAGATACAAAGACTAACAAGTAGACTTTTCCTACATTGTGTGCATGTCTGCAGTCAGCACACATTGTGAAGCTATGGAGCTAACAGTTACTGAATGTGCCCTACACGTGCCAGGCCCTGGATTCAATGCTTTACAAGAATTATATCATTTAATCCTCTCCACAAGCTGACATGGCTTAACCATCTATTTCCTGGGGAGGAAACCAGGCTCAGAGACTCAATGTGAACTGCCTGATTGTAGAGGCAATAAAAGGCAGGGCTGGAAGACAAACACACAGGTGTCTAATAACAGGGATCTGTTGTGGCCCATGAGCATAGAGCTTTGGCTGAAGGAGTTCCCACAATCACCACCCTCATATGGCTTTTCTTCGGTGTGAATTCTCTTATGGTTAAGGAGACAGTGACTAGACCCACATGATTTCCCACATTCACTACACTCATACAGCTTTGCACCAGTGTGCACTCTCTGGTGAACGTTGAGGCTACACTTTTGACTGAATGACTTCCCACAATCACCACACACATAGGACTTTTCACCAGTGTGAGTTCTCTGGTGACTCTTAAGGTTACACTTTTCACTGAATGACTTTCCACAATCAGTACACTGATATGGCTTTTCTCCAGTGTGAATTCTCTTATGGTTAAGGAGATGAAGACTGGACCCACATGATTTTCCACATTCACTACACTCATACGGCTTTGCACCAGTGTGCACACTCTGGTGAACGTTGAGGCTACACTTTTGACTGAATGACTTCCCACAATCACCACACACATAGGGCTTTTCACCAGTGTGAGTTCTCTGGTGACTGTTGAAGGCACACTTTTGCCTGAATGACTTCCCACAATCACCACACACATAGGGCCTTTCACCAGTGTGAACTCTCTTGTGTTGAGTTAGGTTAGAGCATTGCCTGAAGAACTTCCCACAATCAGTGCACTCATAGGGCTTTTCTCCCGTGTGAACTCTCCGGTGTTCAATGAGGGTAGTGCTTTTTCTAAAGAACTTCCCACAATCAGTACACTCATAGGGCTTTTCTGCAGTGTGAACTCTCCTACGTCGATTGAGGTTAAATGTACGTATGGAGACTTCCCCACATTTGTTACCCTCATTATTCACTTCTTCAGAGCAGACACTCTGATGTCGAATGACTTTCCCGCTGTTGCTGGCAGCGTTTTCATGTCCACCCCAATTGTGATGACCTTTTCCACTCACAAATTCCCATGAAATCTCACGTGCACTGTGTGGCTCCCCAGTGTTGAGAGTTACCTGCTGCTGGAGAAGCCCTGAGATACCTGGGGAGACTTTCCCAACCTTTCTATTGGTTGAAGGCACCCAAGATCGGAAGCTGCAGCAGGTCACAAACGAGGCCCTGTCCACAGCTTCTTCCCAGGGCTTCTCTCCACTGGTTTCCCCCTGCTGCTGGTGAGGGTTTGCACTCAAACAGAAGTCTCTCACACATGCGTCACTGAAGAAGGCTTTCTGCTCAAGGTATGCTGCCTGTGACTCAGTCAGGCGCAGAATATCTTTGAACACTGAGAAACACCACATACACCGAAGGGTCGTCTGGGTTGCTGGAGCTGTCTCAGAAGCCCTGACCTGTGACTCTCCTTGTACACATACACTCTGCTCAGAACAGGCCTCCCCATCATCCGTTTTATGCCAGCAACCTGAAAAGAGAGAAATGAGCAGAAACTGAATGTTGATTGTGGTGACGGGAAATTCCATTGCGAAAATGTTTTGCACATAATATTTGGGTTGTATGACATTGTCTGAAAACAAGAGATGTGCAGGAAGAATTAATAAGAAGCTGCTGTGAAGGGTTGGGCCTCTGAAGGTCACAAAACAGGGAAGACCTCACCAGAACCATGACACACACATGGCAAGGACCACGTGGAAGAGAAGATGCATTTACAGCTCAGGCCTCTGCTAACAGTGCTGAGCAGGGCTGGTCTGCTGATGACAGGGGCAAGCTGTGCAGAAGGATGGTTATGTCTTCTTCCAAGTAAAATTCAATAAGCAAGTAGCAGGTCTTTGACGACTACTTAAGCATGTATGTGCACCTCATAACACATGTGCAGGTCCATGTAGGAGAATACTGCACAGGGAGCAGTGCAGAGGGACAGATGATGCAAAATGGTGACAAAGGTGAAGGTAGCCATAACCCAGGAAGTCACAGATGAAATCCAAGACAGCAAAGTGTCAAGTATAGGAAAGAGAAGGTAGAAATGGGGGGCAGCCAGTGGCACCTTTCCCTAAACACAGATGGAAATTAGCAGGTTCCTGGTACCATCTGACCACCACCATTATGTGATACCTTCACCCAGTTGACATTCAGTATGGCCAGACCTTCTCTGAGACCATCTTGCATGTTCACCCAATGGGGAAACCAGGTTTCTTCCTGATCTTCTACTCTACCGATGCATAAACCCAACTATTCCAAGTATTAATTAAAGACAACGGAGGAAAGCAGCCAGCTCTGGCTCACAGCAATGTGGCCCACAATAGTACTCAGCTAAGGTAATATTACAAACAACAGTTGAAGAAGGGTTTTAAAAGAATAGCCCACGGTTCATGTAAGTGAAGAACATAACCTGGCACAGGCTGTCATAAAGCACCTTTCCCTAGAGGAAGGGGGAAGAAGGGAATGAATATGCATATTGTCACCCTCCCAGGGAGAGGAAGAGGAAGGTGGGACCCATTAACTGCCTGTAAGACTCCCACTTTCCATACACTTTCTGCACTTTTTGAGGCAATGGGTGTCAGGGATGTTCATGGAGTCCATTGGTCAGGGCTCTCCACACAGCTCAGCATAGGCAGCCACAGCATATTTGACAAGACAGTGGCGGAAATTAGCAGAACCGGTGGTCTGGCTGTGGGAGAGAGAAAGCTATGTTTTGAGAATAAAGGAAAAAAGGGCATCACCTCACGACCCTGAGACAATGTGAAGCTCTTACCTACAGATGAGAGGAGCGCAAACACTTCCAGCATCACATCGCAGTACAGAAGTCTCTGAGCCTCACCAAGGAGCGCCCACTCCTGCTCAGAGAAGGCAATGGCCACGTCCTCAAAGTCCATATCCTGTCGTGATGGGGACAGTTCAGTCCATGATCAGCTTCTCTCCTAAGCTTTTACTTTTGTCATACTTCCCACTCTCCATATCCACTCCCCACATCACAGAAAATAGTAGGCCTTGCATCCATCAGAGTCACTGTCTCCTTATATTCCTACTGATACTGTGTCTTCAAACAGCAATAGAGCAGATGCCCAAATTGATTATACCTAACATCAGGGCCTCACATTTAGGGTCAGGGCAATGGGTGTCACCAACACAGGGGACAGAAAAATGTTGGCCATAAGGAGAGATGAGAGTGATTTGACACTGGTCTTGTGGGGCAATATCCTTCTTGTCCAACAAATTCTCCCTCCAAGACCCTGAAAAACATGGTATCACTCGTCACCCATTCGATTCCAGGCCCAGGGTGCTGAGGCCAACACTTTGCTCTACCTGTTTTGCATAATTCTTTGTATCACACTTCTTCCATACAGCTTCATTCCCAGAGTCAAAACTTTAAAGGCAAAACATATTCACCATGAAGAGGAGGGGCTGTTTTCTAATCACCTTTTCAACCTTCTAACTCACCTCCTCTGTAATGTATTTCTCTCTTACCCTTCTCCCTTCCCCAAGCCAGTAGAGATTTTTAAGCCCAGGTGACACTGATGTCTGCTATCCCATTGATCACTGTATCAGCCCAACAACCACAGGCAGGTGTGCACCTATATGACACCTAAATTCTGGAACTGGCATGTAGTGCCACAACACCAGTCTTTTCAGGAATTACCCTAAAATTCCCCAGTTATCACCAGAAATGGACTCAACCTTCATTCCTTCTATGTTAAAATCAGGGATCTGTGGCCATGAATTCACACTCCCTCTCCAACAGAACATCACTCCTCCTCCCACACCTCTCACACCTGCACTCCCGTAGCCCCAGCTCCCATAGACATCTCCTTGGACTTAGTCGTTACTCAGCATGTGTGTTCCAGAGACTGCATGGCAAGTTCAAACAGTATCAAGTACAGTGGGGTCTTGACTTACGAGTGTCCCGACGAACGAGTTTTTTGAGATACCACCTGTCTCTTGGCCGATTTTTTGCATTGAGTTGATAGAGTAATTTGAGTTAAGGAGCTCCTTAACGAGCTCGGTCTCGGAACAAATTAAACTCCTAAGTAAATACCCCACTGCACTAACCTGACTCTGAGTGCCCACACCCAAGACAAAGCCTTCAGTTCTGCTATGAAGGCCTCCCTCCCAACTTGTTTTTTTCCTTCAACCTCACCTATTGAGAACCACATCAGATCTCAGTTACCCAGAGCCCACCTCTACTGCTGCTGCATTTGATGTCCGTTCTCCACTCACAGCCTGTGTCCCTCTACCCCACGCCCAGTGAGTCTCACAGATGCCCACTCATGCCCATAAGCAAATCAACCAAACTGGATGCAACACCCAGGCCACACAAAGGGTCACAAGAAATCTGGGTGAGTGTTTAAGAAGTAAATATGGCCCTAACCGGTTTGGCTCAGTGGATAGAGCGTCAGCCTGCGGATTCGAGGTTCCCAGGTTCGATTCCGGTCAAGGGTATGTACCTTGGTTGCGGGCACATCCCCAGTAGGGAGTGTGCAGGAGGCAGCTGATGGATGTTTCTAACTCTCTATCCCTCTACTTTCCTCTCTGTAAAAAATCAATAAAATATATTTTAAAAAAAGACGTAAATATGCACTAGGCAAAGTCTAACCTTTTTTGAATTACTCTTCTACCTCCAATAGAAGCAGGTGACCTTCAACTCCTCCCTGGTGCAGATGGTTATTTTTTTAAGTAGTCTTCATCTTGAACTCTTCAGAGTTCCAGATAGTCATTGACTGGTCTCTGAAATATCTCATAACTTAATAGGAAAAAATAAGATTTTACATTCCCCATGAACATTGCTTTTCTGACTATGAATTTTTCTTTCTCAGTTAATGGTGCTTTCATATCTTCAGGTGCTAAATCCAACCTTCACATCATCTCTGATTCTTACCTCTCTCTCCAATCCTCAAAATTAGAAAATCCAGGTGACCACAGCTATAACCCTGATCCATATGCAACTGCTTCTTCCACACCCACAACCACCACTGTGATCCAGTTACCCTCACACTCACCAGCACTATCACAGCAGCTTCCGTCCTGGGCCTCCTACCACCGTCCTCACACCCATCCTGTGCATCAGGCTGCAGCCACAGGGAGTCTAATGAGACCTGGGACAGGTCACCTGCTCTACTGCTCCCATGACCCCAATGACCCCATCACCAGCAGAACAGAAACCCAAGTGGTCACAAAGCTCCTCTGCACTTGGTTCCTGTCACACTGTTTCCAGTTCCTGTTTTTAAAAAAACGGACCTCTGTTCGTCCCTGAATCAGCTTAGTCTGCACTCCAAGCCTTTGCACCTTCTGGAGCCCATGCGCGGAAGGACCTGTCACACACAATTCCACTGGCTGCCAAAACCAGCTGCCACTCATCTGACCCTTGACCTGGGCTTAGGATTCTGGGCTTGGTGTCCCTTCAAGGTCCCCAGGTCCAAGGTCCCCCAAGAAGAGAGGCCGATAGCCCCAGGACCCCACGACCTCAGAGGCCACCAGAGAGTGAGGCCCTGACAGGAGCCCCACAGCCCCGTCCCCTCAGCGGCTCTGCACCCGCAGGAACCGGTGGGAACTAAAGGGCTGAGGGCCGGGCACCCACCCCAGGACCCAGGGGCTCCGGCTGCTCAGGGCCCTGGCCCCGCCCGGGGGGGTGATGCCCGCCGCCCTCGGGGCTCAAGGTCCCTCTTTGTTCACA